ATTCTAACTTATTTAGAGAGAGAGAGAGAGAGAGAGAGAGAGAGAGATTGCAAAGTTTAATTTAAAAATTTATTATAATCTTTGTTACAAATGTTAAATATTAAGTGATACATTAAAGTCGTGGTATTTGTAATACAATAACATGATCTCAATTTATATTAAAAATCAGAAAAGTTTGTCAAACTTTTATGGAATTATTTAAAACTTTTTGTTTATTAATTTTGTAAATGTTTGAAGCATTTGAGTGATTATTTTGACAGATATATTATTAAAATCACTTTAAATCATATCATAAATATTTAATGAATCACTAAAACAATGTTTTGCATTAAAAAATCGCTAATCTTTGAGATAACTATTGGCGTCGATTGACAACACACGCGAAAACCCCTTCAATTCCTACAATAAAACTATTGAAATGTGCGCTAAACTTGTTTAAAGTATTACAAAAAGTGAAAAAAAGTTTATATCTGTAGAGAAAAAATGAGACAAAAATCTGCCAAACATTAGGCGAAAAAAGTTTACGTTTGAATGGTTTGTGAGTAAATTGTTTGCGAAAAACTCAATACATTTCGACGAAAAGAGTGTTTGAAAATAGGTTTTGTTTAGGCGTTCAGTTGGAGGCGAAGGGACGACAAACAACAAGAAGAAAGAGAAAAAAGTGAAAAATTCAAAATTTCAAACATTTTGTTGAGTGAAAAATATGGGTAAACGAGTGAATGAATGGATAAACTGTTTCACACATTTCCACGCAATGTGAGAGTGAGTTATAGTGAGCTATAGTGAGTGCGCACTACATATGCCTAAACCCAATGGTAAGGCTATGGCATAGCATTGAATGCAATGCAGAGTATTGTTGACAACACACTCACTGTCTGTATGTGTTGTTTGTGTCTCGCATTCATTCATCACTCAATCACTCAATCGTTGGTTTTGTGGAGATTTTAATGCATTTCTCATTCAATTGACCAAAAAGTCAAACATTTATTGAATTGTGATTACAATTAAGATCTCAAACCCTTTTCACCACAATTTAAACGACACTTTCGCTCACTTTTTGCTCATTTAATGGTTTGTTGTTTTTGTGGCGAAAAATCATTTGACAAATGATTTCATTGATATTTTTTGGACCAAAAATATTGTGAAATCAATTGATTTGATTTGTTTTTACTGTGATTTGTGTCTTGAGTTTTGTGGTGACAATCAATGGGTCTTTGCTTATGTAAGGAGAAGAGTAAGCGTCACAACGAATCCAACGGTTCGGCCAATAGTTGTCGAAATGGTAGCGAATCGCGAAGTAATGGCTCCCGAAGTCGAGGTTCGGTCGGAGGACACAACGGATCCAACGCTACAAACAGCGATCTGACGGAGGATTGTCTGGTCATCAACGCGTCGATAGGGTTGAGGGACGCACTGATGGATCACCACAACAATCATCACCACAACACCGGTGCCACACATGTGGCCAAAATGTCACCCGTTGTCGACAAACTGATCCTCGAAACGCTTTCGCTCATCAGAACTCTTGTCGATAAGTGAGTCCAACCAATAGATCCCTAATGTTGTAGAGTTAGTAACGATTATATGACCCGTTTTAACGTGTGATGTAGTGATTCAGACCCGCCGTCATCTATGCTTAAGTTGCATATCATTGCCGACAAAGAGAAGGGATGGCTCGCAGTCGTCAACTCAATGATTAATGTCATACCAATCGACGATCCTTTAGGTCCGGCTGTTATTCTCCTACTTCTGGACGACTGTCCGCTTCCAACCAAAGTATTTAACCATTTGTTTGTCACGATTTGTAATATAAATTGTCTAACAAATGTATTGTTATATTAAACACAGGAATCGATAACAAAATTGTCGGAAATGTTAGACTTATGTCATACTAAACACATTTCGCGGCACCAAATGGCGAAACACAGGAATGCATGCGTTGTGATCGGATGTCTGGCCGAGAAGTTGGCCGGACCTAACAGTATGGCACTCTTGACGCCCGGAATCCTCAACTATTTGATCGCTAACTTAAGCCACAAGAATGACTATTCAATTGTTTTGTTCACATTAATAGCACTCGAAAAGTTTGCTCAAACGAGTGAGTCGTTTATTCAATTAATATTTATTATAAATATGTATTTAATTAGTATTTGAATGCGATTTTAGGTGAGAATAAGCTAACGATTACCAAGAAGTTGGACGAAACGAATAAAAAGGCGTTACTGGTGTTGGAAGCGCTGATCGACGACAAGGACTACGTTCGGAAACAGGTGGGCTTTTGTGCGCAATGGTCTCTCGACAATCTGTTCCTCAAAGAGGGCCGAACTCTCACACACGAGAAGACCGATCGACAGGAGTTGAACGCTGTGTTGAACGCCAACGACGTGAGCGAGTATCTCAAGATATCGGCCAACGGACTGATGGTAACCATACTATTGAAGTCTGAAATTATATGTAGTAAATGTGTGTTTGAATGGTAGGCGCGATGCGACGCGTCATCGTTCGAGAGCGTCCGCTGTACATATCAAGTGACTGAAGGCGTCTTCTACTACGAGGCGATACTCATCACATCGGGAGTCATGCAAATCGGTTGGGCGACCAAAGATAGCAAATTTCTTAACCACGAGGGCTATGGCATCGGCGATGACGAGTACT